GTGCTCAGCTTCTCGGTGATGATTCCTCTCAGGATGTCGCTCTTGGACACACCGAGAGGCTCCGAGCCTCCGCTGCTGAACACAAACATCTTTGTCGGCTCTGTTTGGGAGGAAAACTTCACTACGTTCATTTGAAGGACCTACTTCCGGGTTGTGGTGCAGCGGCTAAAAGCGTCCGTGGAGAAAACGACAACGTGTTGAGTTTAATATTAATTTTAAAAATGATATATTTTAAGCTGTACAGCATTTTTACAAATTAATAAAACAACAATTTAATAAACTGTGACGGGAGAAGACGAGACAGAATGAGCTAATGTTAACACACAACAGAAAAAGTCCCCAGTTAGCATCTTGTAAAACAACAGGAAGTGATCAGTCACTAAAAATAAGGTGTTTAAAGCATCACCTGAATAATACTGCGCCTTCTCCATCAACCTGACAGAAACTACCTGAAACTTACTGATCTGGAGACATGAACACGGTGCTGCCGTGGAACGACAGCTCCGCAGGACTCAGGCTGCATTTCACTTTCTTTGCTTTGTTTAGGATGAAATGTTGTCAAACTCTGGACCTGTGTCTTTGTTTCACATCTGAACAACGGTCCGGTCTCAGTTCTGCCATCATTCATTAACACGGTCCTTCTTTGAGGAAAACTCAACCAGAACAGAAAACAGGAGCGGTTCTGCCCCCTGCAGGTCCTCTGTGGTACTGCAGCTTTAACCTTATTATTCTATACATCCATCCATCAATTCATCCATCATCCATCAATTCATCCATCATCCATCCATCATACATCATCCATCATCAATCCATCCATCCATCAATCCATCCATAATCCATCAATCCATCATCCATCCATCCATCCATCCATCATCAATCCATCCATCCATCAATCCATCCATCCATCATTCAACCATCCAACCATCAATCCATCCATCCATCATCCATCCATCAATCCATCCATCATCCATCCATCCATCCATCATTCAACCATCATCCATCCATCCATCAATTCATCCATCATCCATCCATCCATCCATCCATCATTCAACCATCCAACCATCAATCCATCCATCCATCATCCATCCATCAATTCATCCATCATCCATCCATCCATCAATTCATCTATCCATCCATCCATCATCCATCCATACATCCATCAATTCATCCATCATCCATCAATTTATCCATCAATTCATCCATCATCCATCAATTCATCCATCATCCATCCATACATCCATCATCCATCATCAATCCATCCATCCATCCATCCATCCATCCATCCATCATTCAACCATCAATTCATCCATTCATCCATCCATCATCCATCCATCAATTCATCCATCATCCATCCATCCATCATCCATCAATTCATCCATCCATCCATCATTCATCCATCATCCATCCATCCATCATCCATCAATTCATCCATCCATCCATCCATCATTCAACCATCATCCATCCATCCATCATCCATCCATCCATCAATTCATCCATCATCCATCCATCATCCATCCATCATCCATCATCCATCCATACATCCATCATCCATCATCAATCCATCCATCCATCCATCCATCCATCCATCCATCATCCATCCATCCATCCATCATTCAACCATCAATTCATCCATCATCCATCCATCCATCCATCATTCAACCATCCAACCATCCATCCATCATTCAACCATCCAACCATCCATCCATCATCCATCCATCCACCCATCATCCATCCATTCATCATCCATCCATCCATCATTCAACCATCCATCCATCCATCCATCATCCAACCATCCATCCATCATCCATCCATCATCCATCCATCATCCATCCATCATCCATCCATCATTCATCCATCATCCATCCATCCATCATCCATCCATCCATCATTCATCCATCATCCATCCATCATCCATCCATCATCCATCATCCATCCATACATCAATCATCCATCATCCATCCATCATCCATCCATCATCCATCCATCATCCATCATCCATCCATTCATCCATCATCCATCATCCATCCATCCATCCATCCATCATCCATCATCCATCCATCATCCATCCATCCATCATCCATCCATCCATCATCCATCCATCATCCATCCATCATCCATCCATCATCCATCCATCATTCATCCATCATCCATCCATCATCCATCCATCATTCATCCATCATTCATCCATCATCCATCCATCATCCATCCATCATTCATC